ACCATATCCTGTAGGGATTTTTTTTTTTGGGGCTAGGCCTGAAGGAAAATCTATGTCTTTGATTTCCCACCTTATTAACATCCATTTGTTTTGAAAAGTTATAGGAACAAATTTCTTAACTTGATGTATTACTACCTCCAATCCTTAATATAAGATCTCGTTTGACTTTTAGTTTGATCCTAATTATAAGACCTAATCCTCTTTGTCCCTCATATTTATATATTTTTTCCCAGGTAATCCTTCTAATAATAGTAGTTCTTTAGCCATATACTTGATTAACAAGGATATTTTAGGAAAGACAACACCTATTTATTACAAATAACTAACTTAACTTATTTTCTTAATCTCTTCAAATTAATCAACTAGTTCTTATAATTAAGACCGGAAGTAGTATAATTGTTTCGATAACAAATTTAGTATATCAATTAATAACATCTAACGAGACTAAACTTTCAGTGACTTAACCCTTGTGCGTTATATGGAGTAGTTTCTTACACTGTTTTTAATTTTTTGTAGAGAAATTTAAAGGTAGAAAAAATTGTACTATTAATATTAATAATATGAAAATAGCAATAACATTTTTTAAAAAGGCAAAAAAAATGTATTACTCCCTTAAAAAAGAAAAATTCCAAATAAATACTCCTAACATTTGGAAAACCATATTAGTGACTTCAATTTGATAACTGCCTATCAAATTGGAATTTACAAAATGTTGGGCTTTTGCCACTCACTAAGAAAAGATCACATCAGCCAGGCCACCCATCCAAACATCAATTATTTACGATACCTTTTAACTGTTTATTGTAACGAACTAGCTATTCACAGTTATGATTAAGCAATTGACAACACATCTTAGCCAATTCCATATTTCAATAAATTAATAATGCAAACGGCCTCTGTTTCAGGTATATAGAACACTTCTTTAACTACTTATTACAACGTTTTAGCTATTCACCAATATAATTTAGCCATTAACAATATTTTTGAGCCAACTCCGAACTTAATAAATTAATGTAAAACATCCCTTTAACGAATTAGCTATTTGCAACACTGGTGGAGCAATTGAAGTCAAGATGTTTTTACTAACATAAGTGTTATACGCATTTGGATCCTTTCCATCAACAAAATAGGAAGATGCATTCAGAAAAAGAGTTATGTTCAAGAGAATGTGATTGTGTATAGGACCCAAATCATATTAAGTATAAGGCACATTACTTTCTTTTTTCTTCATCTCTTTCCAAATGCATCCTTTACATTCGTTTCGTAAATGTATCGTAGATCACCTGTCTGCCATTTCCTGGCTAATTTTGAAGGCACACATCCATAACTTGGCTATAAATCCTCTAAATGCCAACCAGCAAGTTAAACACACATCTTCAACCACTTTGGAGTTGTCTAATTTAAAACATACGGATATATGAATCAAAATTTTGCCATATATCAGTTACAGATACAAAAAAAGTTGTTTTAGCAAGTAAATTTCACGAAAGAGCACCTTCTTCAGCAGAAAATGCGGCTACAACTGACAAATTCTAGTACCAACGTAATCGACAATTTACCTTCTTCAGGCTGAGCTCATCAGACTGAACACGCAAAATATCTCCCTGGAGCATCTTAGCCTTCACGATCCATTAACTTGTGAAGGATAGCCTGCCCAAAAAAAAATGTAGTGAAGTTATTTTCCCGTCACTATCATCACAGATATTGCTTGTGATGATTCGTAATCTAACAGTATTTATAATAAGAAAGATCCTTGGCTGCAATTCTTCGAAGTTAGTTATCATGTTCAAACCCTCCCCAACTTTTTTTTTTTAATGTAAGATAATCGTTGAATTATAAAAAATGTTTCTAATTTGAAAGCATTTTCCCCCATTAAAATCCATTTATACACCAGGAAAGCTGAAGAAAATAAACCAGAAAGCTACTAAATAGTTTAGAAGATAAGGCCCATAAAAAATAGGCTGGCTCATTCAGTAAGTAGCTTACGGGGCATGAATGATATGCTTTTAGTCCTTGGTGTAGTTCAGCAGAAGAGATTAAAAGCTTTACAGGGCGGAACTCGACCGATGAACCATATCCTCTGCTGTCTGTGAAACATATCAGTTCACGGTTGATAAGATGTTCAAATGCCTGCATTACAAAGCAAAACACCACCCAATAAGCTTGTAGACAAAATCAAAGAAAACATCACCGTGAACTTCATTGTCCATATATATGCACTGTCTCAAATACATTATCAGAAACACACACCCTTAAGCAGACATTTCGTGCATAATAATCAGAAGTCTGGAAGGAATCGTGCACATTTTTATACTCTGCAAAGTATGACACACAAATTCAGTGAATAATGTAATAACAGTAGACTAATGACGCATTAACTATCAAAGTTTGACCTTTCATAATAGAATTGAAGTTGCACAAGGTCTGTTCTTTAACTTCCAACCTCTTCATGCAAACCAGGATGTAAAGTTCTAATATGGAGCAATCTGTTTGACCAAGATATAAAGTAACAAAAAGCAATCAGTTACTCTAAAAAAGAACAAAAGGAATTACAAAGATTGTTTATTTACTTTGCATGTGTTCTCGTGCACATTAGTATAAATAATTGCCATACTTTTTAAACATTCCAGTTTGGGTTGCCTCAGAATACTTGAAAACGCCGTTTCAAAGTTCTCGTATGTCAAAAAGCCAGTCTGCAAATCCATACATGAGACAGCACAAAATCTAGAAAAGCATCAAACTCCCGTAAGTCTGTCGGGTAGTCTATCTCATACACAGGAAGCTTTAAAAGAATCATTGTTAGACAGGTATAAAGAAATACTTACAGAAACCTCAGCAAATGTTTGATTGAGGAGTCCAAATTCAAATATTTATTGAAGGTTTCTTTGAACCTCCTATCTTCCAAAATATCCTAAATAATGTCAAGGACTCCACAAGAGATGGGGAAGAATATTTTTTTTTTTCCCCTGAAATAAAGCTATTTTTTCTGCACATAAACACCACTAACTACTAGGGGTAAATTAGTTGTTTTCAATCAAATCAATAACTCATTACAGAAATGATGAAACCACACTGACAAAAATAAGAACACTAGCACCTAGAAACACATGAAAAACCAATTACTAAGTCTTCACAAGCAAAATAGAAGAGGCATACAAACACCAAGTTGATTTGTATCATAAACAGTTTTCTGGGTGGCACTATTGCGATCATTCTGAAGACTCATCTTCCATAGACTTACCAATATAAATGAAGACCTATAAGTAGCAATAACAAGTCTTATCCCAATCAACAATTAGTATCTCTTAAGAAAAAGGGAAAACCTGGATCCAGGTAACTTGAAGAGCAATAATTAATTCCACAGCTGTAGTATTTTTGGAATAGATTATTTCTTTACAAATTTATTTTTTAGATTACTATACATTCTTTTCTCTCAGAACAAAACTAATTAAACGTTTGTCCTAAAAAATTTCAAGATGTGAATGATCCATATGTTAAAGAAAATCTCAACTTTTGGGATTAACTTGAAAAATTTTCATGAAAACCATATGACATTTTGAGATGATGTCATCAAACGCATTCATTCTCCTAGGAAAGGATGTTAAGAAGTTTTCCAAACTAACATGGAACTATCAAGATGAAAGAGTCAGCATGAAAAGGATACTTGAACCTTTCTATTAAATTCAACAGCATAATCATGTGGAAAACTTGAATCCACTGGTAATGACAGAACTTGCTCCAAAATTCTACATACAAAAAGTCAAAAAATAAACCATTTATTCTCATAGTCATCATACGAGCCAAAATGGCCAGCCTAGAAGAAATTACAAGAAATTTACCTCTTTGAGTCTTCTGTAGAAGGTGGAAGGAACAATAACTTTCTATGTGAAAAACGGGATCGTACTCTTTTCTCCAATAGCTGATCTGCATCCTGCAAAGTGGATCAGATTGATATGCTGAATTCATGTTATAATAGATTGTATTCCATTGAAAAGATATTCAAGCAGATTAAATTAGCAAATTCTCAACCCAATAACAATTCAAAAATCACCACTAAAACCATCAAATTAGAGAGTTATTCCCCGTTGATCAACCAGGCAAGGAAATTGTGATACAGTATACTAATTTGATATTCAGAGCAACTTGAAATTTACGAGGGAAGCAAAAGCAATGAACACACCAGCCGACAACTAATGCCAATTACAACAGCCTGTGATGTTATTGATTGCATAGCATCCAGCAAGCTATAAAGCAACCTCTGCTTACCCTGTGGAATATCAGAATGGGAATAATATAAATGTATAATTGGAAAATTTAAGTTAAATTAAACATAGAATCATAAATAACATTTCTCACAGGACACAGTTAGGTCAAATAAAATTCATAATTTGCACTGGAAGGATTTCAGTACTGGTTGAAGGGGGAAAAAAAGAAGGTGGAGTCTTACCTGGGCAAACTGGTCAAACTCATCCAGAATAAATACAATTGTTTTATGTGCTAATCCACACTCCCTGGAAAACAAAGATAACAGTTGTTTCAGAAAGTTAAACAAATTACCCGTTTTTTAATCAAGAAAGCTTCTACTCACTTTAGCATTGCTACCATGAATTGAGAGTTGTCGTCAAACGATGCCTATAGAAGTGCATATCAAAATCAACAAATCACTATTCCAAAGTTTATAATGCATAATATAAATCTTGCATAGGCTAGCCTTATTACCGCTTTTGAGAATTGCAATTGATGCTCCATGCATAACTGCCTAGCTACTTCCTGATTGATCATTAAAAAAAACAACAAATGGGACATGATATAGGGAAAAAAATTGGGGCAGCAATGATAATAAAATCAACAAGTCAAAACAAATTCAACTTAGGTTACAAGAAGATGTGGGAAAATTAAAGTAATAAGTAACAGACAAAAATCAGTATATTGAATTTTTCATATTTATACTCTTTATATTCATTGGTGCATGACAATGTAAATAGTTTTCAAGTGTTTGTGTGCGCAAATTCAAGTCCCTAGGATCAAATAGAAAAGATTTCTATCTTCAACATTAAAATTTGTCAATTCTATTATATGCGTAGTCAGAATCTCTCCCCATCCAAATCTTATCTGGGTCCATCGTCATCCAATTTCTCTGAGCATTTACAAGTTCTAAATCAGTAAAAGGTCTATCCCGCATCTTGAAAGGCACTCAAATAGATAAGCACTCACTAGGTCTTATGCCAAAAAATTTTCCTTTATTATCTTGATTAGCTAAGAGCAGAAAATTAGCAGAATTTGAGGTTTCGGGTAGCAAAGAAAAGTACAGAATGTGAATGGCATCAACATTCTCATCATGCGGGGTCCAGATTCTATGTGGCTCCAAGAGGAGCAGAGAGCAGACTCCATCTCGGCCCTCCAAAAGAGAGACTAGAGCAACAAAGAATCCATTTTCCATGACAAGTAAACCAATAAAGAGAAAATGAAAACTCAAAAATTAGAACACATGTTTATCCGTGCATGCGTGAGAGAGACAGAGAGTGAGTGAGAGAGAGATTTCAATTAGTACTGCATCAAATCTAAACCCAGGTTCTAAGATATAACCTTTAATGCACAGTTGTCATCGCTATGTAAAAGCCCACTCAACTTGATCTGTCAAACAAAATCCAAGAAAAATGTGATTCAAATGAGAACAAACATACTTCACATCCACTAATTCCCATTTTATTCAACCCATGTCTGTTAACATTATCACTTGATGCGTGCCCATTAATAAAAAACCAGCAAATAAAGTTATCTTAGTATTTTACTATGTCATCCTAAGTTAGCATGACATTATGTGTAATTACCATGCATTTGAATAGGTGATTTTAAGTGCAGGATTATACACGATCACTATACTATTGAAAATGTTACCAAAGTTTAATTACCAAACCAATTCATTATACCAATACACCCTATATTACAATGATATTAATGGTGTTATTCCATCGTTGATGTAAAATCCTACATTATTCAATTAATCATGTATATGGGAACTTTTTTCATATGTTTATTTTTGGCCAGCACAAGGGACCTGTGATTTGATGGAAGAAAATGAAAGTTTCGTTTCAATTGTGGTCATCAAATACGAAGGTAAATCCATTCTATGTTGAACAATATGAAGAACAACACATTTGGTTTAATTCCAAATGATATCTCAAGATAGTAACCATACCACTGAAATCATGTCCGGATACTCCACCAATAAATCTCCAACAACAAGCTCCAGAACCTAGGGATATTTAAGACGTTACTTTGAAGTGGAAAAAAATATGAAGAATTATCCGATCAGAACTTGCTCTAAAAGACTTATCAACAAACCGCAGATTTCCCAGAGCCACGGGGACCAAGGAGCAGAATAGAATTATTGCATGCCTCAGTAATTGAACTTGATATCATGAATTTCAGTTTACTGCAAATAAATAACACGTAGTTTTCTCAGCACCTAATTTAGTTGTCCGCAAACAATGCAATAAAATATCTGATAGAAACCAAAACGGATATAAGGGAGCAAGACCTGTAGTTGCTGTCCGGAGAATCGTGGAGAGGCTTGAATACAAATTTGGGGTCACAGATTCTACTTCTCAGAAGGCTTAATGCCTTCATTTTGTGACTTTCTCGCCCCATCGGTTCCGATACTCGAAATGCGAGCGAATTACCGGTAATTAAGTTTCGGCTGGCTAGTTCACTAGCTAATCACTACCCTAGTAACCCTGTTCAGTGGCTAATCGCTACCCAAAAATTCAAACAATAACTAAATAGCTAGCAGATAAACATAATTCAAAAGGACGGAATGAAGCAAACAAAAGAGAAGGCTGGATTGTGCGGTGGTAGGGTGTGGGTCCACATATCAAAATATCAGCGAGAGAGAGACTCTTCTTCTTGCTCAGTTGAGTGCAAGTCTCAGAGCCTCAGAAGTATCGAGTAATATCCAACCGTTTCGGCGATCAAAGATTCAAAGACACACTATTTGCAATCGAATAGCGAATGGGAAGTACCAGGGTAGCTCCCCATGTCCTTCCTCAATTGCAGCTCCGTAGTTCTTGCATCAGGGGAGTCGGGTCGATCCGGGTCAGCATAGGTTCTATACGGATCCGCAACTTGACCAGGACTTCGATCTTCGAGGTTTAGCTTCCATTCCATGTCTCATGGAAGCATGGTTGCTTGGGTCAAACCTCAATGATTCATATGTTTCACCGAAGTCAACAAAATTATAATTAAAATAATTAAATTAAATTAAATTAAGTGCAAAAATACTTATCCATTTTTTCCAAAAATACATCAAACACTATATACCTTTCTTGTGTGCAAATTTAAAATAGGTGCAAAAATATCAAAACCATTAAAATGACTTTATTTTGTTACTTTTATGCTGTTTTTGGCTCGATGAAGGGGAGGGGAGGAATTCTAATAAAAGAAAGGGAAGGGAAGGAAAGAGGCGAGTAGCTACAAAGGGAAGGAGAGGGGAGGGAAGGGATTTTAATGAAGGAAAGAAATTTTAATGATAACTTGTTTGGTTTGGAAGGGGAAGGGAGAGAAACTAATCAAAATTTGACTATTTTAACCTTATAAAATTAAAATGAAATTTCTCACTTTTTTATTTTGTTAAGATAGAAATATGAATAATATAATTTACCAAATTTGACTTGCCATAATACAAATTATTTATGACTACTTGTTATTTGAACAATAATTAAAAAATAACAAGAATTATAATATTTTTAATTGAACCAACTTTCACATTTCCAATATATATTAAATAGATTGAACTTGTCTACCAATATATATTACAATCAAAGTAAACATCCACATTTCCAAAATAAAAAGATCCATGTGAAAAAAGATTCATGAGCAAATATATCATCCATGTTAAAAAAGAATTCAAATACTAATAACATGATACAAGACTACTCCTAATGAGAATATGAAGAAGAGCCAAACACCATATCCATGATTACTGCTTTACGTGCTGGAGATGGGCATTGAACAATTGATCTCAACTTGTCAACATCACTCATAAGATAGTTATAAATCCGAGGCTTTTTGTCAATATCAAATCCACATTCACTTATCAAATGCCAAATCTCTTCACTTGACATGGGAGGAATCTTGTGGATAAAACTCTTTTTTTATAACATTTTACTCATGTAATAAATCATTTCCCCGGTTCAAAACGTCATGAATTAAATCATGACTTCGAGCTAATGCTTCATTGCCTTCTCTAATTGCTATAGCCATGTCAAATACAACGCTCTTCATGGTGCTGAGATCGGTCTCCTTATCTTGAGCATGCTCTTTCCTTCTCTTTTTACCATAATCACTAGTTTCTCCTTATGGTTGTTTGGAAGGTAAGGGATTTTCCTTACTAGTATCACCATCACTTAAAATCTCAACACCATCTAATGTGTACTCCTTTTGTGAGATAAGTTGATTCAGGTCATTAATAGTTTCATAATCTACTTCCATAGGAGATTAATGACGTCGTTTTCACTTCTCCTTTACTGTTAGAGACTCATCTCCACCAACTCTATCAGCTCCATATAAGATTATCATCTTATTGTAATTAGAAAATGGAGTATTTCGCCAAATGGTTTAGACTGAGATGATACATATACATATTACAAGAAACACAAGTTCAATTCCACATAAAAAAAAAACAACCATATATAAAATGTAAAAATCATACCTGAATTAGAGCCTCCCAGACTTGAGGCTTAGCATCCACAATTGACTCGATGAGTTCTAAGCAAAACCACTTAAACCATTTTTAAATATATCATAAGCTTCTGAAAAGTTTCTTTTTAACGTCTTCCAATGATTTTTTATTTTGTCCTTGTCAATCTTCCTACCAAATTGTGCACTCGACAGTTGGACAATGTTTTCATAACTTGTGGTGGTAAATGTTCTATTAACTTTTCGACCGTGTTCATACTCACACATGAAGGCATCAATAAGGGCATCATCCATAGCCCTTGTCCAATTGAGCAATTCCTTGCCATTGTTTGATTTTGTTGCCATTCTATAGGCCTGTTCATTATAACATAATAAAATCTGAATTGAAAAAAAAAAATAGAGATAAGTCTAGTTTCAATCAAATTAACACCATAAATTGTTTTGACAATAACAAATATAAGTATTGAAAACAAAACTCAATCAAATTAAAAATATAAATCATTCTAACAATAATAAATACAAGTACTAAAAATGAATGTTGATTAAATACGCCAATTAATCAATGAGTTTGAGCTTGAGCTTGAGCTTGATAGGCAATCCACATTTCATTAGCTATATTTTCTCTAATAAGCTTGCCTTGAGTAGTCTCCACACCTTCATTATTTAGAGTACGACTATCATCATTTTCATTTAAATTTGCAAGTTCCTCATCAACTTTGCTAATAAGATCTTCATCAGGTTCTGTGGTCATCAAGTAATTATGAAGATTACAACATGTAAGTATTACCAATGTTTGAGCTTTGACCCAATAAGTAGGCTCTGATGAACTAGATAAAATTTGAAATTGTTTTTTCAATACTCCAAATGCTCTTTCGATTGCATTTCGTAATGATGCATGCCTTAGATTGAATAATTCCTTGTGATTTTGAGGTGGATTTCTTGAATATTTTTTTAAATGATATCAAACCCCTCTATAAGGTGTGATGGGTCCACTTGTTAACATGAAACCAGCATCTAGAAGGTAATATTTTCCTATAATGAATGAAAATAATTAATATGAATGAGTGATAATAACTTGATTCATTGGATAAATTTTAAAAATTATTCAAGAAGTTACCTTGGGGGATTTTAAGCCTATCTTCTCGAGTCAATGCATTCTCTAAAATTCTTGAGTCAGATGCTGTGCCTTTCCACCCTGGAAGCACATAAGCAAACCTTAGATCAAATGAGCATGTTGCTAAAACATTTTGTGTTGGATACTCTTTCCTACCACGATATCGAAGGACATTTGCTGGAGATACTTTAACACGTATATGTGTCCCATCTATTGTACCAACACAATCTTTAAAAAAAGGGAAGAATTTACCCTTATTATGAATCTCAGGAGGTACTAAAGAACCATTAGGTTATACCAAAAAGTTTTCTTCTAGTTCAATAGTAGCGTCTAATACTTTATAGAGATGATAACTAATTGTCTCGCCAGACCTTTGAAAATAAAGTTAACGAATGATTTCTTGCTTTGTGTGCCAATATATGAAGAGTCTTAGCAACTTATTCTTTCACACTTACATATCGTGTGGCTCGTAAGCCGCCCTCTCTCTCTAACATACTACATAATTTTAAAATAGTTTCAAGACCCATCCAATCATGTCTCAATCATTTCTACTATTAGTTATTGGAGCCATTACTTCTCACCTACTCTTTCTCTTCTGGAACTCATATTATAACATTTTTTTTCGTATTCCACATATGAGTCACATAGTACCATACAATAGCACAAATGATTTGAACTATAGCTCTTCGATACAATTCCAAGTATCAACGAATCAACATAAAATATTGAATCAACATTTGGTAAATCAACATATATTGATGTCTTACCAATTCCATCTAAATAAATAAATAAAAAATACTTCGAATCAAATCATAGATACTGTAATGTTAATTAGTTAGATAAACACAAATAATTTTTTTTGGTTTGCTAATTTTTATATTATGGGACGTCTAATTTAATATCAATAATAGCATATATGTGCAATAAAAGGAATAGGAGTAGGAATGAGAACTACATAGTAAATTATAATTTAACAAAATCTATATGTGATCAAGGGTCTCTCACTGCTACACTAGTGATAGTATCACATATATTAGTCAAATTTGAAGGGAAAACAAATTAAAAACTATATATGAGTTAACATAAATATGTCAACCAGAACTTCTATTCTTCTAGGTGCTAAGTAGGACTCTGCAAAGGCTTAGAACTTAAAGCCATTTTGCGTCTAATATGCATCCAAAAAAATATTTTTTGAAACTATACTGATAATTAATATTGGAAAAAATTTAGATATATGTGGGGTTTTTCCTTTCCACCAATGTGAGAGACAATCCAAACCTATAACAAGCTTAAAAGCACTGCTTCCTATAATAAGCTTGCAAAAACGAGAAGCATCTATAAATAAATCTTCGAAACAAGCCTACAATTCCTCTAGCAAACGATTTAGCCAACGAATAAGACAGATAAATTCTGTTGGTTTGCCTGATTTGATCCTTTTATCTTTTATAAGAAGCATGTCAAACTTTTTCAGCTACTTACACGAAGAGCGAAAACCCAAAGAGTAATAGAATCTTTCTGGACTTTTTTAACAATGGACTTCACGGGCTTCAAAGAAAAGTCATATAGAAAAGTCATTGTTTTCTCTCCTACCATAGCTTATATATACAAGTAGAAAAATCAAAGAACACGCACCTGAAAAATAAGAGGGTTGAGTAATGAAGCTTAGAAGAAGATGATGATTGATAGACTCACAATTGGGTGGCGGCAACTTCTTGTGAGAGAGGAATTAAAATATTTTACTTAAGTTAATTTGAGAAGATAAAATTTTATCTCTCATCTCCCCTCCAAAAAACCTCACTTTTGGAGGGGAGGCTAGAAGAGAAAAGGAGGGAAGAAGAGCCTCTCCCTTCTTTAAAAAATACTTTAACCAAACAAGCAGAAAAGAGCAACTCCCCTCCCTTCCTAAAAAATTACACTAGCCAAACAACGCCTCCCCTCCGAAAACCCTGTACCAAACATAGTGTTAGAGATAGGGTGCACAATATTCTCTAAAAAGACTAAAAGACTCTTAATTAAAAAAAAAAAAAAACACTCTTCTCCCCTAACCTCTTTATTCATCTCACCCTAGA